TTGGGCCACTTGATATCGGCCGCGATGCAGGCCGCGGCTGTCTTCATCGGAGACACAGCTTTATTCCTGTTCGCGTGGTCGCTCGGTGCCTTGGCGAATATCGGGTTCATGGTTGCGTTTGTGGTTTGGGCTTGGAAGATTCTTGTCCTGCCGGTTTTGGTGGTGCTCGCGCTGCGTGCTTACCGGAGCCCGGCGCAGTTTCTTAGCAGTATTTTCAGGATTGCTAGGTTTCGGCAGCCCGGGGCGTATTCGCAGGGCATGCACTTTTTTGTCACCGACACAGGCATCACAGGAAGTACGAGTGGCCCGGTGGCGAGCAACGACTGTCTTGCGCTGATACGTGGGTCGGCCGGGCACTTAGTTCTGAGGCCTAGTACTAACGGTTACGTCGTTGTGGGCGCGTCCTACGTTGGCAGTCGTCCGGGAGCAGATGAAGTGGTGGCTAAAGAGACATGGGCGAATATACGGGTGTCTTAAGCGAATATGGTACCAATACGAATATATGGACGGCAATAATATAGGCGCTAAGGTACTCACACACCCTGTTTCACGCAGGAGCGCGGTGTATTCAAGGAGACTTCAAAGGATAGGATCCTGTAGTTGTATTGGAAAGAGTCTGAAAATCTAGCTATCATGCAGTGCGAGACTGCTTCGTATAGAAAAAGGAAAAGAGCACTCCGGCTTCGGTAGAGCATTGCAAAGCTCGCAAGAAAATGACGTGAATTGGTGATGGTGGCAAGCCGAAGGCTGCCGCCGCAGTGCTCCGCTTATGTGGAGTGAAACACACCACATAAGCGGAGTACTGCGGCGGACTGTAGGTGCGTAGTTATGTGTCAATAGAAGAATGGGCCTACTTACAGTAGTGGCTTAAAGTGGTAGTCCTGTAAGACTTATCTATCCTAAAGACTTAGCTACCCTATAAGACTTAACAACCCTGAGCAAGTCTTGGGACCCTGTACAAGGCTTATGTAATTCCCTATACCCCCGCTGAGGTATCTATAGTTCAATATGACTTCAAGTTACTATTGTTCGGGTTTCTGTAAGTGTATATCTCTGCCCACTCCACCATAGCCGAGATGGTAGTTAAGGAAACCTACTATCTAATCAAAACTAAGCTAAAGCTAGCTAAATGCTGAAGTTCATTGTTATTGTCGTTGAGATAGTTGATAATAGCTGGGCCAAGTCCGTCATTGAAGGTTGCTCTTGCTGAGCCAATGGGTTCGGAAACCTGGACACGGCCAAAGGTGATGCCGAGATTCAGCACACCCAGGGGTCGGCCTGTCGAGTTGATAGCGTACGGTCCAGGCTTTAGCCTGCGTTGACGAAAGCAGTCCATTTGAGGTGATATTCGTAGAGATAATACATCGAATCAGCCTTTGGTACCCCTAACCTGAGTTCGAACTTCCAGCTCGATTGGATGGGAATGGAAGTTGTTTCCGAGCTCTGTCAAAGGGCCTGAAAAATGAAGATGCCATGTGCGGCGATGATGAGAATAGCCATACAATAGAGGGGGGAAATGGGGGAGGGAGAGGGGAAGATATCCTTCGCACAGTTGTTTGTCGGGCGGTTGGGGCAATGTGGCTGCATGATCATGATGACCGCGGGTATGCATTTCTCCGCCACCACCATTGTTGGCAAATCTGGGTCGTGATAACCAATGGGGGCGACGAAAACATGAGAAGCTAAATCCCGTGTCCCAACCATACCGTATCCTGAGCCCCCCTTTGGCCGATGACATAACTAAGTGCAGGTGAGCCTCTTGAGAGCCTACTCAGAGCCTTCAATGCCACGTATGACCTAAAGCCACTCTGACACAAAGACCGTTCTCGATCACATACCTTGACCTTGAACAAGTTGGTGAACATGGAGGCGTCGCTACGAAAATATCCCATTACCAACTGGACTAACAACATCGTCGATCATCTTCTCCTGTCAGATAACCGAACCGTCTTTATATTTCACCACGTCGGGTTTTTACGCTTCCATCAAGGGTGAATTCAACTCCCTCACCTAGAACTCCCTCACCTAACCCTCCCAGCCCCTTACCCTCACGACCGCTAACCGATTCGATAGCAGCACCCTCAACTTCCCGTCCCCTCTCTTCCCGGACTCCTTCATCGACGAAACCCTACGCAGCCTCGCACTCCCGTTCCTACAAAACGACCGCAAATCACGCCGCTGGCTCCTCGGGCAGATTGTAGAACACAACCTCGACCCGGCCATGGCGCGCTGCGGCTTCCTGCGCTCCCAAAACGGACGCATGGAGCACTTCTCCTTCCGGCACGACTGCCTCGTCATCCTCAAGCAAGCTTTTGACGAGTCGATCCCGCGCGGGCTGCGGCAGTGGTGGAATAATAGGCGCAACTCGGTGGAGTGGTATACCTTTTGGGTCGCGATTCTAGTATTTGCCATGACGGTGTTTTTTGGGCTGGTGCAGAGTGTTGAGGGGGCGTTTCAGGTGTATTTGAGTTGGAAGGCTCTTAAGGGGGCTAGCGCTCTTCCTTGACTAGTTAGAGGAACATGTTTGACGTCCGATTGATCTTGGACTTGGGTAGTAGGTACCTGGAACAAAACAACAACCATCACCAGTAACCTGAAGACCAACATGTTGAAGGCATGCGCCGGGAAAAAGAGGGCTGAGACAAAAACCAGATATTTCTCCCTGCGTGAGTTCTTCGAGACACGGCCCCTCTCTGCGAGACTGCCACTGTGGCGGTTTTCTCCCTCGGGGATTTTCTCCCTCGTCTCCCCGAGGGAGGATTGGTCGATCGATCGTTTCTCCTGGCCTGCATTCCGTCGAAAGCTTACACTACCGCGCCGATATTTGATCATCCCTTTTCAGACTCAATAAAGGAAAGTGCATGCCGTTGCCAAGGAATGTCAAGGGGCATCCAGGGCTGGTTTATTCGCACCACCCTTTCAAGGTGATTTGCATCGATATCTCCCTCCCCTCAACCCTTCTAAAACCTCATCGCCCACTCTTTATTCATGTCCCACCATCGTGGACGAGATATGTACCGGGGCAATTACTCCTGGATGTTTTGGTGTGGGCTGGGTTGATATCCCGTCTTCATTCCTGACAGACTCCCTGCGGACTTCTGATATACAGGCAGCTGGTTCTGCCGGCGGCCGCATCAAAATGGGTGCACCTCTTTCAGTATGTGCGATGATCCTGTCAGATAATGTCAATAGAACTTGGATCTGAACATAGCCCCTCGCGAGGCTCCGTCTTTTCGCGATGGCGGTCGTATCGTCAGATTCATCGCACCTTGCTTGTTTTCTTGATCCTCATCACTCTTTTTGTTCTTGAACGATACCGTTTAGCATTGACCGGGACTTTCACCCTGCCACACCGACAGCACGAGCTCGAAGATGGCGTCCCCCGGTCAGCGCAGCAACAACGGTCGATGGCACAGGCAGGGAATAGCACACTCGGGTTTCACGCGATTTACTATGTCAACATGAAGACCCGATACGACCGCGAGGATGCCATGGCACTGCAAGCCTACATCTCCGGGCTGGATGTCCAGGACTTTCCTGCCGTCGAGGCCGAGATGATCGACCCGGTCGGGATGCCGCCCACCCACCGACCGGCCATGTTGAAGGTTGGGGAAAAGGGGTGCTGGCGAGCGCACGCCAATGTAAGCTCGCTGACCCGATGACTGAAACAGGCACCGCTAACCAGGACTTCCACAGATCTGGAGCGAAATGGTCCGCAAAAAGCTACCACCGGTCCTGATCATGGAGTCAGACGCAACCTGGGACATCAACGTGCGACCGATTATGAGCGGCGTGAACGAGAACTTCATCAAGTTCCTCAAAAGCATCAACTCTACGGCCGTCCACGACCCGAGCTGGGGCTCCCCTCACAACCAACACCCACTAGCCGAAGGCCCCATCCCCTCGCCCACCCCGTCCCCACCGCCCATCGACTACGACGCCGACGACCCCTGGCTCAGCGCCCACTGGGACCTCTTCTCGCTAGGCCAGTGCTTCGAGCACGGCCAAGACAAGGACATCAAGCTCGTGTACCCGGACCCGCGCGTGCCCGACGGGCGCGACTACTGGGGCGTGCGGCTCGACCACCAGCGCGTGATCCGCAAGTCGGGCGGGATAACGTGCACGACGGCCTACGCCATCAGCCACACGGGCGCGGCGAAGCTGCTGCTCCGCGGCGCCGTGGACCTGGACAACCCAGTGGATCTGCTGATGCGGCGGCTGACGCTGTCGCGGGACCTGGTGGCGTATAGTGTCATGCCGCCCGTTATGGCGCAGTGGGAGTATCTGCACGACATTGGCATGAACGAGCGCGGCGCACAGAGTGATATCAACGGGGGCAAGCATGCGGATACCCCGTTTGATGCCGAGATGAAGGGCTGGGACTATGCGAATCGGACGGGGTCCGTGTGGATCACCAAGGCGCATCATCGTGATGTCGCGTTTGAGAAGATGGCGCTGAGTGTCGCGTGGGAGCAGATTCTGGGGGATGCGGTTCTTACGAATAGTTGGTGGGATCCGAATACTGGGGACTAGTGCATGGGTTTGTGGAGCAGTTGGGATATCTGTTACTTGGCGTTGTTCTCGCGAGCGGAAGAGGGTAGTTTGGATACTCCAATTCATATTCACCTACACATTCGCTTCTGGTCTCTGTATTCCCAAATAGGATGACGTCGAGTTCACACGAAATACATCACAGTACCGGACCAGACAACATTTCATCTGTCTCGCCCAATCTCTATAAACCACTTCTTATCCATGGAGTGGAGGATACGGGGTGTGCAAATGATCTCGGATACAGCGGGGGAACTATTGCACTAGCGCCTAGACGAGGTGAAGAGGCAAGTCCTCTTAATGTCTCGGTCCAGCACACGACCGGGACTTAAATCCATAGACTTTTGTCTCAATAACCCTAATTTGAACCACAGTCTCACTGGATTATCTCCACCCACCCCTCAATCACATGTGTGGCTCCGAACGTGGAGCATCATCCATCAAAGGTCGGTCTTATAGTGTAGTGGTTAGCACGTGGGTTTTTGAGCAATCATCGCCTACCCGAATCCCAAGTTCGAACCTTGGTAGGACCTCTTTTTTTCATCCACGTTTGCAGCATGTAAAGGGTCCTAATTGGACAATAGCACTTTTCCCCGTTTCTTCCAAGACATAAACGCCTTCAATGAAACACTATTTCATAGCTAACGCTTAGATGTAATAAAACATTAGACCTAGGTAGGTAGGTTAAGGTAGTAGATACTAGTAGCAAACAAGTAGAATATCATCAACCAAGCATTGAAAGCTAACATTATTCCTCCAATCCTCACCACTTCCCGTAAGCTCCATTGAGTCCTTGAAACTTCCGACTGAGCGGTGGGCGCTAATGGGTTGATAGCTGTTGTAGCAACCGTCGGGAGCGGCTCGGTTGGTGTCGCCTTGTATGTTATGGTGTACTTTGGCTCTGGCGTCGCGTTGGCGTTATATATAGCATTTCGCGGCGACTGTTGAGCGACGATGCTACTGGGGATTGGCGCAACGGTAAGACCTTTGTCGGAGCAGTCTTCATCCCAGTCCTGCCTCGAGGATTCGTTTTTCATACCATAAGAGACCTGGCAGCGCATCTGTTATATATACGGCATTAGTAAGTACGGGGAAGGAGCACGGATGGTAGAAACACTTACGCATCGCCCACTGCGGCATAGCCAGAAGGACAGACACATTCGTACCACGCGTTGAGACCATGGGCATCCTCCTCATCCCGACATGCAGCCGATGAGACATTTGAGGCTACGCAAATAGAATCGATGCCAAAACAAAATCTCAGGCCTTCTCCATCATCTTGGCCAAGCAAAATGCCGACGGAGATACTGATAAGGAACAGCAAGCCCATTAGCACCGACTGAAATTCTGTAAAGATAGGCTGTTTTTCATCCATTCAATTTTTGCATCCTGGTATGATATGAATTTCTTCAAGGTCTGACAATCTAGCTGCCTATTCCCAATCTCCCCAGAGGCGTCGCCGGTCCTGCGACGACATGATAAACCAAAACGCCTTCCCATGCTTCCCGCTATCCCAATGACTCTTCAAAGACTTTTTCTCAACTCATACAAGTCGCTAGCGCCTCTAGATAGCGAGAGCGGCAGCAACAACAGTCAGACCCAACATGGACAAACTAAGACGGCCCAGCGAGCCCACACCATCACTGCCGGGGGTCACGGTGCTTCCAGCCGGGACGACCGACCCGCCGCGGGCGCTCGCCGGGGCGACGTTCTGCGAAACCGAGGCGGCAGCCAGGGCATACTGCTGGATGGTCCGACCATTCGATCTGCATCACAATTAGTCCACTGCTGTCTGGCACCACAACATCTTGAGAACAACACTCACGGCTTATTGATCACACCAACCATCCCCCCCTGACAATGCCTCCCAGTCGCACAGTAGTACCACATAGGACTCCCGGTGCTCACAACACGAAAGACATTGGCGCCCTCACCCGACGAGACGGCCTGCGCGCCGCTAAAGAAGCCCTCGGTGCCGTTGACGGCGAGGGGCGTGCACGGGCTGTCAAAAGCCGACTGGGCGACCGAGTGCGAGCCCGTGAAGAAGTGGAACTCGATGGTCTCGCCGGCGGGCACCGTCACGTCTTTGGGCTCCATGGTGAGGCCGTTCTGGCCGACGTTGATGCGCGTCACGCCCGCGACCGTTTGTTGCTGCGCCGCGGTGGAGGGCGAGGGGGAGGCGGCGGTGGTTTCGGCGCCGTAGCTGTAGCCGGCCGAGGCGAGGGGGAGGAGGGAGAGGAGGAGGGTGAGTTGCATGATGGCGGTTTGGATGGGTGTGGTGGAGTTTGTTGGTTTGGTGATGGTTGATGCTTTTGTGTTGAGAGATTCAATGGAGTTGATGAATTGTGCGATATGGAATGGCAAAAGGTCAGTTGTTGAACGCTGCAGTCTGGCATTTATCATGTAAAAACAATTCCCCAGCTCATCTCCTATTTGTAGGCTTTGTACCCTTTTTTGGCCACCTCCTGTCAGAACTTTTGATGTTTCGATTTTCCCAGTGTTTCGACTCTTGCGTGTTTCGGTGATGAGTTTCAAGATCGCCCTGGCACACCCGACGGTACGGTGGCGTGCCACCCTGGGGTCGAGCGCGAGGCCTGTCGTTGCGGCCGTGCTGCAGGAAGCGCCCAAAATCACTGCCAATCAGCACAAGCCACCCCCGTGCCGAATTCTTACATGCCCAAAGATGGTGTGAAATGTTTCGGACAGGGGTGCTCTCCACCTTAATCTAAAGTTGAGTGTAACATCTCTGACCGAGGGGTATTCTTACCATGACCCCAGCGCTGTACGCATTGGGTGACATCAAGAGGCAGTCCTTACTTCCGGAGTTTTGGTATCCACATCCACAAGCAGGACTGAGTGCCATCAACGCCATTTGCAACAGGATCCTTAAAGACATGAGAATAATGAGGCCTCCGAACAAGCTGGACTGCATTGGTTATTTGTGTAATTAGGTGCCTAAGTTTTACGACAGTAGCTTCGTAAAGTTCAACGACCTTTGACTCGATCCAATTAATTCTCCTGGATCTTCTCCAGCGTCACTCTCAACCCCCCCTTCGGCACGACAGTAATGGACGGATTCTGCAGCACTGGCTGCTTCTCTCCCAGCGCCGCCAGCTCAGGCGTGGGAAGCACGTGAAAATTGGTGAGCAACTCGACAAGGATCGATTTGATCTCCAGGTATGTAAAAGCCTTGCCGACGCAGATGCGCGGCCCATTGGAGAAGCTCTCCATGGCATACGGACTCGCGGCCGAGCCCTTTAAGCTGGCCCAGCGCTCTGGCTTGAACTCTTCTACGTCTTCGCCCCAGACGTTCTTGTCGAGGTTGGCAACCGAGAAGGAGAAGTACATGAGTGTGCCCTTGGGGATGAAGGTGCCGCAGACAGTAATGTCCTCGACTGGCTCACGGAAGGAGTTGACGACTGCGGGTTCATGGTAAGCATATGTGCATGGGAGTTGAAAGTAAAAAGAAGTGACTTACCTGGTGCATAGCGTCTCAGCACTTCCTTGCAAAACCCATCAAGGTACGGCAGCCTATCAATAAGCACCCAGTCAGGCCGGTCGCCAGGCTGTCTCCCCGCCATGGTAGGATTCATCTCGGCGCGAAGCGCAGCCTGTATCTCGGGTCGCGTCGCCAGGATGTACACAGCCCATGTGAGCGTGGTCGCTACCGTTTCATGGCCAACGAGCAGATTGAGAATCTGGTCGACCATCTCGGCCTCGCTCACAATCTCGCTTCCCTTGGTAGCCTTGGCCTCCTCGACCATCATGGTCATCAAGTCCCTTCCCAGCCCCTTGAGACCCGGCGGCGTGAAGGGCGTGCCAGTCTTGACAGACTTCTCGTAGTCGACAAAGCGCTGGTCGATGCACTGGCGCATCAGCCTCCGCAGGTTCTCGGTGGCGCGGACATAGCCAAGGTTGGCCTCGAGGGGAATCCACCCGCGCACCGGGACAAAAGTATTGATGAAGCTGATGAGGGCACTGAGGAGATGGGGCTGGAGGGCGCGGTGGTAGCTCGCGCGGAAGTTCAGGCTGGGGTCGCCGGTCCCGAGGTTGTCGAGGTTGATGCCCATGACGGTCTTGCCCGCGATGTCGAGCGCGATGTTGGAGAAGCAGTCGACCACCTCGATGGTGACGCGGCCGTCGGCGTCCATTTTGCGGTTGAAGAAGGCGATCATGTCGTCGATAGAATTCTGGAACACTGGCACGATTTTTTTGAGGGCTGGTACGGTGAAGAGGGCCGAGATGAACTTGCGCTGCCGCTTGTGCTCGTCGCCCTCGGTGAAGAGGAGACCCCGTCCCGAGATCTCACCGACCAAACGGTACAGGGCATCGGGCTTCTTGAATGCGTAGCAATATGTCTGCAGAATCTCTCTGTGGGCCTCCTGGGTGTTGATGAGGAGCATTTCTTGGTTGCCAATCCCAAGATAGCGGATGAAGGGTGCGCGCGGCCATTTTGCATGCCAGTCCAGGTGCAACCCGATGGGCGATGGATGGAGAAGTATTTTGAGGAATTGGCCAAGGAAAGGGTGGTTATCCTGCTGTTGTTAGCTTTGTCTTGAAGTCCGAGAGTAAGAAAACCTGCCTTTGGACCAGGGAGGTGTCTCAGCGGAGAGACAAAATGTGTATAAAAGACGATGCGATACCACTTAAGAACGAGATATTGGAGGGCAAAGAGGGCGAAGAATCGGTTCACGTGCTCAAGAGCTGGGAGTGTAGTTACCCGCAACATGAACTTTTCCTCCGGGCGCATGCCAGCCCAGAGGGCCGTCTCCGCAAGGGATACCAGGGCAGCACGGCTGAGATCCATGCTGGCCAGTGAAGTGACTTGGTGGAAGTGACTTGGTGGGAGTGACTTGGCGGTGCGGTGCCATGCCAATTACTGGAAGCAGAGTGGAAAAGAGGACGAACACCCCTAATTATGATAATGATGGCTACGGCCAGCGATGGCCGGCACCATCCGGCAACACCCCTCCTCTCAGGTTCGCGGGATACTAGTTTTCGAGAGACACGCATACAGTCTGCATTGAATCGCGCGGAGATGTACTGACTTGTATTATGTACATGTAGTCCCTCAGTGGCTGTTCGGTGACCGAGCTGCGGCCCCACCTTCACTCCCCAATTGTCAACGACGAGCGGTGGGGTCAACTTCGTCACATTTCCAACTTCCATACATGAGCGTCAAGTTCTCCGTAGGCTAATGATTCCATTTTCCGGCACCGTCAGTGTCGAACACGGGGAACCTCGGTTTGTGAAAAGCCGGTATCTGAGTCACAGAGCGGCCCGTTCCAATGCGATTGAAGGCTGCCGTCGCCTCCGTCGTACAGCATGGCCGCCGTCGTACAAGGTCTCGAAAACTCGGGGACATCATGGGAGGGACACCAAGCCGTACAAATCGGGTTTTGCGGGAGGAACAATGGGAGAGAGAGAAGGGGGTTGTTTATTTTGCAAAAAATCTATCATCTCTACACCTTTGAACACGACGTATTCTAAGCCATGTTTCCAGCCGGCGCCAGCTACGTAGGACTGTAAACCA